GGTGGAATTTACGCAGCTCATTTACACACTTTTCCTGAAGATAGAAGAGTTTGTTGAATCTGACATGACATGTTCGTACGAACCCTTTGTACGAACAAAAGTAAGAGAAATTTAGGAGAAGAGTACGAACATGTTCTTGCATGAGGCCCAATGTGATGACTCTCAGCTACCACACCAAAGTGAAGCTGTCTGCAAAACAGATTATTATACATTTTTGTGGTGGCTAATATTGGTTGGCCTTCTTGAAATGGGTTCCCTCCAAAAGTGAAAGAATTGTAGATGTTCATCCAGTGATCCCTTTCTATGAGTTTCAATCAAATCTGTACAATGGTTCAAGAGATATTGTGCTAACAGACAAATATGGTTGACACCAAGAAATAATGTCAGAGTTTGAAAGTAAGATCTTGCACTACATACTTTAGAAAGTATGCAGAGGATGACTTTCAGTTACTACCACACCACATCCGCTCAATTTTTATAAAAATGGACTGAGTTGTAACAATGCTTGTGTGTTTTTTAAAGTCAGCTGCCGATGTCGGCCATCTTAATTCAAACTGACTCTAAAAGTTAATCAGTCATGGATGTGCGCCCAATAAATATTTTCCAAAAGTGTCATGAAAATGAGTCATATGGTTCATGCGATATTTTGCTAACAGACAAGAAGCATTGCCTTTAATAGGTAAAGTTGACATTTTAATGCCAAATCTCTTGTGATGAGGTAATGATGATCACTCTCAGTTACTCCCATACCAAATTTCAACAGAATGTTTGTCAAACTGGCTGAGTGGGGAGTGATCGATTGTGGGTAAAAGCTACAATTAGTTTAAAAAGGAAACATTAGGGGTGTAACAATACATCGATCTACAGCGATATATCAATAAGATGATTAATGGTTCAACATCAGGGCAAAATGAAAAAAAAAAATTTGTATCGTCATCTTATGCCCAATGTGGGTTGAAACCATATGCCCATCTAACACATTATCTGAACTGAGTGAAATCATGTCGTGACACTTTGTGATATCAAGAAATATCGTATCATCATCCAAACAAATCGATACATCATATCGTGATAAATCTGCTGATTCACACCCAGTTAAAGTCCTATAAACTGAATAAGCGACAGACCTTATGCTTTCAGTTGCGCCGATCTGACTGAAGTGATCCAAACTGTGTGTCCAACATGTGTCTCTCAGAAACTTGGCTGTCAATAGTGATTTATTGTGACAGTTGGTAGCAGCTTATTCATCAGGCTGTTGAATGGATATATCATCTTTCCATTACAAAGGTACTGGTGCAGCTGGCAGGGGCCCATATTTAGATTCATTGGCAGACATAAGGTCCCAACAGCTTGACATCACACTAAACTCCTGCCATCGCTCCGGGAGAAGTAGGAGTGAGTCTTCAGCGATCACCAGAGATACAGATCAGGGAGGCCAAATGCCGAGAAAAATGTCAAGTTATTTAACACGACACACGAGGAAATTATTTGTACTTTATTTACGACTGGCATCCAGGCATTTAGTGATAAAGCACAGGTGAGATTAGAGGATCTGAGTTGGTTTTCTGTGATTATTAAGAGATTATATCCTGTTTGAAAGACCGAACACTGAGGCAGCACGTAGTTCTTCTGGACGATACATGAATGTTATTAGACTCACACATATTGCAGGTGTAGGGAGAACATCACCTGTCCACATCAGCAGCTCTCATTGTTCATTTCCTTGTCAATTTGATACTCCAAATGCTTTAAATGACATCTCCATGTGGCTCTGGAAAATGTCAGTGTGATAACGAAAATAGACCATTTGAATGTTCAGGGTTGCTGATGTCTGGGAAAGTACCCATCACATTTGACTGTAAAACAAATATGATCAAATATGTGGAAGTTTCTGAAGAGTTCAGCACCAATTCTTTTAACACTTTATTCATCTAAAAACTAGTAAAACACAAATCTGTGATGGACTTGCGACCTGTCCAGGGTGTACCCCGTCCCTCGCACTGTGACTGCTGGATATTGGCACCAATGACCCACGCGACCCTGAAAGGAAGAAGCGTGTACAGAAGATGGATGGATAGTAAAAAAAATATGCATTACTGCAATAAGGAGCATCTGTCAAGAGGTTTTTAGGGTGTTTTGCTTACATACAGTACATGCACATTATGCGTGAACATAAATGGACAATTTCATAAATTCAACATTTATATCAGTAGTAAAGATGATGAAAACAAAATTCTCATTATGAGTGCGTGTTCTTTGGTAAAATTAATCACTGCAATAAAATAACTGCATGTTTTTGTCACTTTTATGGTGGATTGCATCAACTCTGTTACATATAAAAGGGAAACTTCACCAAAGTGAAACCATAAACTTGCTGTTCTATATAAACTCCTTGAGTAAAACATAAATCCATGGATCTGTGTTTGATTACTCTGGCTGGCTTTCTCAAGGACCAGGATGTGTGACACAAAAATTATGAATTTTTGAGTTGAAATTGAATTCTGGAACTGAAAGTGAAAGTAGTCGAACTGAATTTTTTTAATAAACCAAAATACGCTTTCAGTGCATGTTAATTCAAATTCAAAAGTTAAATTCAGTTTCAAATCATTAAATTCAGTTTCAATTTAGTAACATTCATTTTCAAACCAGTGCGTTCAATTTCAAATTATGCACATTCAGATTCAATCTGAGCAATTCAAATTCAATTCCTGCTGGCACAAGATTTATCCTACACATTTCACAACAACAACACGAGAGGAAAACATAACTCTGACGTTTTAACCCCCGAAACAGGAAGCAAACAGGAAATAACTTCAACCTGCTGGAACAAACTTGGGTTCTGTCCAGTCACAGGCAGACACTGTAGAGTTTAGCAGAGTCTTTTGTGTTAAAATCAATGAATATATACAAACAAAATATTGTTTTTGGCACTTTAGAGCCACCATTTTAACGAACATTTTTGCCATTTTTACTTATAAAAAAATAAGGCATCAGAAGACAAAAGAAGGGAAGAAAATGATTTATGAGTGTTGATTTAAGAACAGAGCAGAATTTTACATTTGAATACAATGTATTTATGTAAGCTGTCATCTGTTTGGGTGTTCAGACATTTTCATCATAATCTAGTGGGAAAACAATCTGATTTATTGCATCTTGCAAGAAATCATTTCAGAATACACGCGTGTCAGCACAAACTGAAGCCATCACTCACAGAAAAAAAAAAACATACCAGGGCAAAAGGACAAAGGAGTGATGATGTTTTTGTCCTTGCCTGCATTGACCTTTTTACACATAATAATGAGCATGCTCAGTGTCAGTGTTTTGCAGTGCATTGTGGTCTAGATATATGCCCATGCCTACATCTGGTTCATTGAAATACACTCAGCCCATACTGTGTTTCAGACGTGCCCTGAACTCATTCCAACACCTGCCAACATTGCAAGTTGAGGACATTTTGCCATCACAACGTAAAATAACTATAATTTAAAAGTTTGTTTGTGTATAAAAACACCGAAAATAGGATGTAGGGTCCGCGGTGTCCAATTTTACACATGCATAGATAGAATTGTGAAAAGGTCAAAATGTGTGTGTTTGTCTGTGGCATTCGCAAAATATTGTATAAATCATTGAAAAGATTTTAGGGTTTTCATTGGATGAACATCTACAACAAGTCAACCCAATACAAGATGGCATCCACCCACTGTAAAAAATGAAATGTTGTATTTACTTAACCATGTTATGTTACCTGGTTCCACTTAACTGAGTTGAGTAAATTCAAAGCAATATACTAGTTTTTTAGCCAAAGAACATGAGTATGTTGCTTTGAATTTACTCAACTCAGTTAAGTGGAACCAGGTAACATAACATGGTTAAGTAAATACAACATTTCATTTTTAGAGTGCAGTTAAATTTGACAGATAGTGAGATCAAATGTAGTGGCTGAGAGTCCTCTCCAACACCTGCTGAGCACTAGATGGCCACCACAGATAATGCCTTTTATCAATTAGCAGCGGGGAGAGCAGGACCTCGCTCTCCCTGCCTCCTGATTGGTCAGAGGGCTGAAACTCGTAGCGTTAAGCGCTCCCATATAAACCCGTGCAGGAGCTGACATCGCTGCTATCTGTCATGCAAGTCCAAAACACGGAGAGGAGAAGAGAGTAGAGCAGCCGCCGGCAGACGACTTCTTTTCTCACGCAGTCAGCCTTGTTAGGTTTGCTCCTGCAAAAACAAGCTTCTTGGAGTCTCTCTCTCTCTCTCTCTCTCTCTCTCTCTCTCTCTCTCTCTCTCTCTCTCTCTCTCTCT